GCCCCATACAAAAACATGCTGAGGGTCTTGTTAGTTAAAAAATGGCATCTTTGTGGACTCAGAAAGTGTGTTCTTTTTGGTACAATGCCTGCCCTTTGGAACAACATTTCCCCTGAGTTTAGAAGGCCCCCCCAAGTCTGTCAACTTTTCTCAAAGCCTTGAAAACCTGGATCTGTTCCCAGATATGGGGTTTAAACTATTAGTTATAACCCGGTAAGTGATTCACTTGTGGCAAACTATACAGTTGCTGTTTATGTTGTGTGTATTTTAAATGTTGTTAGATGCACAGAATTCCTATGTTGAGAGAGGTGGCCATATAAATAGAATTAATCAAATAAAAATAAAATTAATTAATCATGCTGCGAGTTTCCATAAGACCCTCTCCAAATTACAGATATGTCCACTGACCCAGTTACAGCATAAGGTAATAAAATCGTGCATCTCTAGTGCAGCAGTTAAGTAAATATATTGCCCATAATTCATATGTGCAACATCTGTTATTCACAGAGACATTGTCAATGGCCTTTAGAGATTCTTTTAGCAGTGCAGGCAAGGCACTGAAATCATGATCTCCTTCAAGGAATTCAAGATTACTTGAATTCCCTGGAAATAAAAAGTTTCGCAACTTGGAGATATCCCCCCCCTTTTTTTTTCATTTCGGGATGTTCTGGGGAGAACAGGTTTAAGTTCATCTTCAGCCACAGAAGCTCATAGTTGGTTTTGGGCTCTCAGTCCAGCCAAACTCACAGGATTGGGGGTGAAATGAGAATATATGCCTCGGTGAACAAAAGCCTGGATGGAATGTTATCATTGTTAAGCCATACCAGTTGCGGGGGGGGGGGGGGAGTTTCCACTTTTCTGTATCTTGAACTTCCTACAGTACATGCTGGCTCACAATTGTCTTGTGCCCTAAGATGGAGCAAATTCATTTTCATCCAGATCTATCTGTAAGACTGCGGGGTTCTTCAAAGTGTCACAGAGTCTGTGCTGTGCTTGCCAGTAACAAGGTCGGCATTAAACTGCAGTCATGTGTCACAGTTTGCAATCCATTGGATTTGAGCTGCCAGCAGCAGCTGATCTGATTGATACACGGATGATTTAAGAGACACGGACTTTGAGCCGGCTGTAATGCTCATGGAACAGCTATACTCAAGCTGCACTCCCAGGCTCCAAATGAGATGGCCTTTTGCTATGAAGGCAAAAGTGGCAGCAACTTGAGTTAATGTGGGGAAAAGGTCAAGAGGAGAATAATTCACTTTCACCTTGCTACCGAGGAAAGAGCTGCAATAAAAGCTGCTCATTTATTGGTGAGATTATATATAAACACGAAGTTCATATCTCCAGCTACTACCTCAGGCTGCCATCCAGCCTGAGCTGTTGTCATCACCTACCTAATCAAGTGGCGGATTACCTGGCCTTGATAAATTGAAGAAGCAGCTACGGGATTGCAAGGAGGAGGGAGCGAGAAAGGGGTTATGTCAAGTAGTTTGCTAGCCTGTAGCAGCTAATATGGGAGCAGATGTCTGGACCAAGTCTCTAAGCTTGTAGTATGCAGCACCACGGAATAATTTGTAGAGAACAGCATAAATGTCTTTAAAGGAAGACATCCATAAAGAGAGCAGACTGTTAAGTGTGACATATTACAGGCCAAGAGACAAAGGGAAAAGGAGATGGTGTAACTGGCATTGTTTTAGAAAGAAATTCCCACACCCTGTATGATAGGCTTCAGTTAGAAGGAACCATTTATATGAACTGTGCTGATAAGCAATATCCTTTCCGTGAAGGAACACAGCACACGTCTAAGGCAAAATCCAGAATTATTGCATTGTTGTCCATTGTTTGTGAGTTGATTATAGGCAGCTTGCTCAGAGTATATTAATTTTTCCTCTTGAAATCCTACTGAGCGGAACATCAGCGTTTCCTAAGCACACAATTGTGTGGAAAGGTTTTGTCGAAGCAAGTGGCAAGGCAAGATAATTCTTACTCCAATAAATAAATCAGGCATTTTGTTTTATTGGAAAAGTCCAGTCTGATAAGGTAAAAATGCAGCTGTAAAATAACTATAGTGGGGTAAGTGTAATATATAGTCATCGATATAATGCTGAGGGATGATGGGGAAAAATTGGATTCTGGGCATAACTGCATTTGATTGAAACACTATTATAATCCTGCCAAAATAAATTCCGTTTTTGCTCCTGGAATCAGTAGAATTTATCAGTGCTTAAGCACAGCTGGACTGTGCCTTTGATTTCATGAAAGTTTCTTATTGTCAGAAATCCGAGAACAAAGTAAAATAGAATCTGAACCCAAGTAATTCGATTTCTATGCTGAGAATAACCTATTTTGTCATTTGTCGTAAGAAAACAAGAAGTTGCACTCTTCTGAGACAATACTGATAACAACTTTCCAGAGTTTCAAAACAGATTTTTCTCAACTGTACTTTGAGAAATCAAAGATTAAATCTAGAATCTTCTGCATACAAAATGTGTATTTTAATGCTAAGTTGAATGCTTCTTCCCCATGTTTCACCATCTGATTTTTAAAATTATTGTGCATAATTTGGATTTTATATTAATGGGTTGACCCAAAAGCTATCCAGGACACTGCAGTCCAGCTTTCATCCACTGAATGCTGTGTAACTATCTTTGAAACATTTGAAATTTCAGCAAACATTAACCATAATTTTTCAAGCACATCTTATCCCATATATCTAGAATTCTTTTTTTTTTGTGGTTTACAAACTGAAGATTATACCCAATGCCATATTCTTTGCTTTCTTAACTCTTTAAGAATGTTATCATACACAAAGATAGAGATTATTAATTTTCCCATTTGCATGTTGCATATTTGAGGAATGCTGGGAAACAAACAGCATTTAAGACTAGCAGGTGTGGAAAATGTAATATTTGTTCTAGTGTAGTCATGTAGAGAAACACAAGGGTTTAACATGAAGTAACAAAGTGGGGATACACTGCCTAGAAAGCTGCCCTCATTATTGTTCAGCCACATCAAAAGTTACTTCCTCCACATGGCTCTGTGTATGGTGACTTTGCATAGGTGACTTAAATCAGTGCTTTTCAACCTTTTTGCCCATTGTACCACTTTTAGGATATGGCAATATCCGAGTACCACCAGTCACCTAGCAAGGTGTCAAAAACTTGATGACCCCAAAAAAAAAAAAAGGAAAGGAAAAAAGTGATAAAGTACAGGTAGTCCTCGACTTACAACAGTTCGCTTAGTGACTGTTCGGAGTTACAATGGCACTGAAAAAAGTGCCCCCCAAGCCACAACCGAGCAAGACACCTGCCTGCCCACCTGGTGGCGCTCTTCCTCCTGTCCGAGGTTTTCATTGTTGTGAGCATTTCTGCTGAGGATTGGCAGCGGGGGTGGGGGGGTTGTTTGGTTTTTCTTCCCCCCATCTGCTGGGTGGTTGCAGCAGGTTTTGGTCACTTCACATGACCCTGGGACACTGTGACCATCATAAATATGAATCAGTTGCCAAGCATCTGAATGTAAATCACAAGACCCTGGAGATGCTGCAACATTCCAGCTGATCGGCGCTTCTTCTGGGCTCAGCAGAAACACCAGGATCGGGCCGAGCTCCAGCTGGAGCCTGGTGCTGATCCTGGCACTTCCACTGAGCCCTGACAGTCCCAAAGAAGCGCTGATCAGCTGGAAAGCGGCACTGATCCTGGCGCTTCCGCTGAGCCCTGACAGCCCTGCAGCTCCAGCCATCTCTCGCTCAGGCTTGTGCAGTGCTGGTTCAGCTCATTCCCCTCCCCCGCTACCACTTTTCTAGGATGGTCGCGTAACACCTGCCAGGTGCCAATGTACCACAGGTGGTACCCATACCACTGGTTGAAAAGCCCTGACTTAAATCAGGGATCCTCAATCTTGGCAACTTTAAGACTTGTGGACTTCAACTCCCAGAATTCCTCAGCCAGCTTTGCTGACTGAGGAATTCTGGGAGTTGAAGTCCACAAGTCTTAAAGTTGCCAAGATTGAGGACCCCTGACTTAAATAACAGAAAACTGGATTGCTTCTTGAAATTCAAAATTTGAGAAGTTTATTTTTATTTTGTGATCATGCCAAATTGTTGTTGTTATTTAAGAGCTCTAATCTCTTTATTCTTTTCCTTTTATAAAATGATGTGTTTGCAAAGCTTCTATTAAAATTAAGAATTGAAATCTGACCTGCAGGAAGAGTTCCAAAATCCAGAATTACATCTTTGGGGTTCAGTGATAGAACCCATTATTGGCATGAGAGAAATCCCAGAGTGAATCACTGACAGCTCAGAACAACTTCAGTCTTTCCCTTTTGTATAGCTAAAGGAAGACTCTACAGAGTTAAAGGATTTCTGGGAAATGCAAGGAAATCTGGTAAATACATATAATTTGGTTTTGAAGAAACTTCACCCCTGCTCATCCATTTTTTAATTAATTTCAGAGTGCAGGGTACTCTGTATATCAAAGAATATCTTAAAATACTGAAATTGGGGTGGAAACTGTGGCTTTCCAGATGTTACAGAACAGTTCCCAGTATTCTCAGCCATCAAGGCTACTGGTTACTGGAAACTGTATAATTATCGCCAACTGAAGGGCTATCAGTTCTCTACCCTGACCTAAACTACTGCTCTTTCCAGCATGCAGCATTTGCCAGTTCTTTTTTGATAGGTTGAATAGGTAAGAGCTGTGATGGAGCAGTGGTTAGAATGCAGTACTGCAGGCTAATTCAGCCCACTGCCGGGAGTTCGATCCTGACCATCTCAAGGTTGACTCAGCCTTCCATCTTCTCGAGGTTGGTAAAATGAGGACCCAGATTGTTGGGGGCAATAGGCTGACTTTGCAAACCGCTTAGAGAGGGCTGTAAAGCACTGTGAAGCAGTATGTAAGTCTAAGTGCTATTGCTATTGCTAATGAAAACCAGTTGCTCTGCTCTCTCAGAAACCTTTTATCCTGGCAACCACACTTCTTACAGCTGTTTTCCCCCCTTCTTTCCAGGGGAATCCCTACATGTGCAATGAGTGTGATGCAACCATTGACGAACTGGCACATCCACCCGAACTGATGTTTGATGCCGAAGGAAGGCATCCCTACACCTTTTGGCAGTCGACCACTTGGAAGGGTTACCCAAAGCCTCTCCAAGTGAACATTACCTTGTATTGGAACAAAACCATCGAACTCACGGACAATATAGTCATCACCTTTGAATCTGGCCGCCCAGACCTAATGATCCTGGAGAAGTCCCTCGACTATGGTCGGACGTGGCAGCCATACCAATATTATGCTACAGATTGTCTAAATGCTTTTAACATGGAACCAAAAACAGTGAGGGATTTATCTCAACAGGCAGTCCTAGAAATCATTTGCACAGAAGAATATTCCACGGGGTACATGGCCAACAGTAAAATCCTCCACTTTGAGATTAAGGATAGATTTGCATTTTTTGCTGGGCCTCGGCTTCATAATATGGCCTCTCTCTATGGGCAGCTCGACACAACCAAGAACCTAAGAGATTTCTTTACTGTCACAGACTTGAGGATAAGACTGCTCAGGCCAGCAACTGGGGAATTATATGTGGATCCGCAGCACATGACACGCTACTTTTATGCAATCTCCGACATAAAAGTAGTTGGAAGGTAAGAGAACATAAACAAGTGTATATGCATTTTTTTTTCTTTCAATCACGTTAACTTCCTGTTTTGCCTTCTTTTCTCTTCCCTTTCTAAATTGAATTATTGAACTATTATGGTTTGAAATGTATACATACAATCTTTTGCAGATAGATAGATAGATAGATAGATAGATAGATAGATAGATAGATAGATAGATAGATAGATAGATAGATAGATAGATAGATAGATAGATAGATAGATAGATAGATAGATAGATAGATAGATAGATAGATAGATATAGAGAGACAAACACACATATACATACACACACAGAGAGACATACATACACATATGCCTTTAATTTATTGATTTCTAAGTCTAATGATACGAAGTGGTATCATTACATGAATGAATGTTAGGGTTTTTTTCCTCTTTCTTAATGGCCATGTTCTCACAACAGCAATCTTTTAGAGATACTTGACCTTCATGCATGACAATAATGGCCAACGTTTTCCTTCCCTCTTTTCTTTCTTTTCACTCTTTCTGTGTTATATTCTCTCCTCTTTCCTTTCTTTCTTTCTTTCTTTCTTTCTTTCTTTCTTTCTTTCTTTCTTTCTTTCTTTCTTTCTTTCTTTCTTTCTTTCTCACAAAGCAGGGCACAGGGAAGAAACAGATCACTTTTGTCAGAATTCGCAAATGATTGCCTGCAGTAGACATGTGAAATCATGCCCAGGATTGTATGGAGTGAAATTCTTTAAAGCTACCAGGCCGCCTTCCCATGATTTACAGAAACATATAGGAGATGTGTGGGTTGATGATGAGGTTTAGCTTGGCAAGCTCCAGTTGCCACATGGTTTAGAAGTATTTCTTTGTCGATTTAAAAGTAAAAGAAATAAATTGCATACACAAAGCGCAGATTAGGATTAATTCATCCAATGCCATTTCTTGGTGTAAATTAAAACTATTATTTTTTTAGAGATCCAGATATGGAAGATGTGTAAGGTTTGGGTTTGATTCCGTTAGTCATGTCCAACGCTAGGGGGCAGTGTTCATCTCTGTTTCTAGACCATTGAGCCAGTACTGGCTGAAAACGTTTCTGCAGGCCAACATGACATCATGCCACAGCACAGTGCAGCAAAACATGGAGCGCTGGTACCTTCCCACTGAACTTATTCATCTGCTATTTATTTATTTGCTACCTATTTATCTGCTCATATTTACATTCTTTCAAATTGTTAGATTGGCAGGAACTGAGGCAAGTGATAGGGACTCACTCCATCACACGGTGCTAGGACTTGAACCACTGAAGCACAGACCTTCTCCAGTCTTTTAAGCCACTGAGCCACCATGCCCTCTGTATTAGGCAGAAACAGAGGAGAAATGCTGCATTATCTAAGGAAAAGCAGTAGATACCACATCTAATGAAATAAATGGAAAAGAAAAAAAAATGTAAATGTCTTTTTAGCGACGGAGGTGCTTATTTTAATGGAAGCAGTCACAGTTGTTACTATGAACCAAGATAAAGTTGCCATAGATTGAAGATTTGGGACAGGACGGAGGGTCCATTGTGGGATCAAGCAGCTTTTCATTTTTCCAATGCCCAATCATCTGTGCCTAATCTATGCTGCCTCTGTGCCAATAGAATGACTGTTAATTCCAGTGCTTGCTTCATCAATGATAGCACATGGAAAAATACATTAGAAAAATAAAAACAGAAATATTATAAAGATGGCAGACATAATAGGACCCGGCAAACAATCCAGTAACTTTTTACAGCTGTGGTCTCCTTCATCTCTGCCTGCCTCCTGTGCCTTCCTCTTGATAATATTTAAGATTGCAGTAATTGCTTCAGCATCTGGAATGTTATTATACCAGGGGAAAATAAAAACTTAATGTAGTGATTTTTAAAGCTAAGCCCCTGTAGGCATTACCATACCTCACTGAGATCTACTATATATAGGAGCAATCTATATTTGTCTGTAAAAATAGCTAGCCTGGCTAATTTTTAGCTAAGAGGCTGATATATCTTCAGTATGGTCAATCCTTGTCCTGCTGCATTTAAAGTGGAAACTACTGTCACAAAGTTCAGTAGGCATAAAATTATATGAAAGGTGCATAGTAGTAAGTCACACTATGTTAGTAAAAATTCTAGCAATATATACAATGCATGTATGCATACATGTTTTCATCTTATCTATGCTATTCATGTGTTAGATTGTGTGTCTGCATTCTTGGCTCAAGAAACATGCATGCAAGAATCCAGTCAAGAATTTTGCCTGTCTTCCTTGAAAAACTTCTCCTTTTATGTACAACAGGGGTTCCCAACTGGGGGTGCTCGCATCCCCTGGGGGTGCGAGATGATACTCCAGGGGGTGCGAAAACTTGGGTTTTGAAAATTATAGTGTATATGCATAATTCGTTGCCGTTATTTTGAACTTTCGTAAGGAGTTCGAGAATATATCAGAAGCGTTCTAGGGGTGCGGAGTATAGAAAAGGTTGGGAATTGCTGATCTATAAAGACTAGATTATTTTACAATCATTTGTAAACTTGAGAAAAGCTTGAAGGCAGCTTTGATCGCTGAATATGTACAAGGAAAGAATTTTGGATCAGCATGTTAGGGAAAAAAAGCCATGTTAGTATCCAGAAAATGTAGTCAGGAACTTCTTTAGATGATTGGAACCCAATCTTAATATATGATCATAGTCTTATGGATCACACCTAAACACTGGTGCTTTGTTGGCAGATGAAACCAATATGGTATAAGTATCCTAATTCTAAAGTTTAGTGGTATCCGTATCTATTACCTTTCATATCTTCATATCCTTCTGTTAATATTGTATTGTACTCATATTGTATATTAATATACTTCTAATATTTTATATTAAATATAAATTCATAATATACAAGTGATATACAAAATGCTATTGTACTCATCATTTCTGAAATGCACTTGAACTTCTCACCATACATGACAAAGACAAGAAATATTTTTAGGACTCTTCTACAACTCCCTCTTCAACATGGATGTCCACCAAATATGTGATTAATTCCTCGAAATTCTCAGTAGTGGCTGTATTTCTGGAGAATTATGGAAATTAGTCCACACATCTGGAGGCTGCCTGATTGGAGAAGACTATTTGTGGTCATAGAAACAATAGTGCCCACTTTACCCTGGGGCTATATTGTGACATGTTTCCCTGCCAGAAGTAGAAATAATTGCATTTTTTCCTAAGATTTTCCTGATATTTGACATCTGATGTCAAGGTTTCTGGCACATTGAGTTGTCCATTTCAACAAAACAAAAAATGGAACATTTTTTTTCTTGTTCTAAGAGAGAAAAAGTTATTTAACTTGTAGATGTTAATAGTACATTTGCATATGTTCTGTTCAGGTTTTTTTTTTATCACATAGCATATCAAGCATATAGCAGGAACTTAGTTCTGATTTGAACCTATCAACACAGGCACTTCGTGCAAATGTGTTTTTAATGAGAAATAATTCAGAGTGGAAAAAATAGCTGCAGTCCTAGTTAACATTCTTTGTGCCCTTTTTATGACATGTATTAACAGTTTTTAATTTGAAATGTCAAAACAGTGAAGTGCTCTTGGGTTCACAACTGTTCTTTAAATGCATAACTATTGTTTGACTAATAGTTATTTGGATACCCTATTTGTACCTGTTATATCAATATTGACCTATATCATATTTTATCATTCTCTTCCTGTCAAAGGCATGCAGCTTATGTATAATTTTAAAGCAAATGTTTTGATGGAAAACACTTCCCATCCAAAAATATTTTAGGTTTGGGAGAAGAAACTTAAATCTGTAGCAGAATTCAATAGCATTTTCGTTGGTTTGTGTATACATAATCCTTTCCCTAGTTCAGTGGCTCTCACCTTTTTCTTCACCACGGACCCCCTTTTGTGGCCACGGACCATGACCACAGACTGCCAAGATTTAACTCAAGATTTAAATCATAACATTTCTTCAAGAACTTCATTGACCCCCCCCCCCCCCCCCCCCCCCCC